GGGCCGATGCTCTAACTGTTAGGGGCAGAAATAGAATATTGGGGACCAGTTACAATGATAAGAAATATTAACCATGCTCTGTTAGCCATGATGGTTCTGTTCTGATTAGAGAAAGCACATTCTAACTTGGCTGGGAGTTGTATGCCCTGTGACATGGGTGCTAACATCGGAGTGCAGTCCATCCTTCTGTCCTGAGAACTGTCTATCCTTATGGAAAGATTTACAACCTCATGGCTGAAGCAATCTAGTCCCAGAGGCACCCATTCTCTACAACCCCCAGCCCCTATTGCCTGTAATCTGGTCCTGGGGCACCCGCCCTCTGTGACCTTTCCCCTCTCCCTCCCAAGCCCACAGGACTTGTAACCTGTAATGATTATCCTGTGCCTACTTCCCCATGCCTGTAATTCCTACTTTACCATGTAATCTTTGTCCTTCTACCCAGTATAAGCAGCTGGCTTATGGGGAGGGGCAGAGCAGATTTTTGTGGATGACCTGCTGCTCTCCTATACTGCCGGCAGTATTGGAATAAACGCTCATATATGATTCAGCCCTGTCTCTGCTTAATTGGCTCAAGTAGCGACAGGCAGACCAGACCCCTTGGTTGCCTGGCTACATAACCACTGAGCCACACTGGCCAGGGCACAGATGACACATTTTAAAAATATATATTTTATTGATTTTTGACAGAGAGGAAGAGAGAGGGTAGAGAGTTAGAAACATCGATGAGAGAGAAACATCGATCAGCTGCCTCCTGCACACCTCCTATTAGGGATGTGCCCGCAATCAACGTACATGCCCTTGGCCGGAATCGAACCTGGGACCATTCAGTCCGCAGGCCGACGCTCTACCCACTGAGCCAAACCGGTTAGGGCAGATGACACATTTTTAATCATTTAATTCCTCAAAACCTCAGGCCCAGTAACAATTCTAGATCTTTTCCCCCAGACGATGGTAGTTCATTCTAATTGAGGCCCATAGCTCCTTACTAGCTATTGAAACTGTTCCCATCAACAGAATGCACTGCTGCCAGAAAACGACATTTCCAGCCTTGGTGGATGTGGTCCCAGAATTTTGGAAACAGCTGATAGTTTCTCTCCATATGGCTCGGACTCACGAAGAACCAAAGTACTCATGGAACAAAAATGTTTCTTAAAGGCAGAAAAATATTGCTTTAGCGTAAGTGTGTTCATTAGTTTCGGGATCTTTTTGTTATTTTGGTATACATGAAAACTACTTCTTCTTTGCTTAAACAATCTATTTTGTAATCTTCTTGTTTAATTCTGTGCTGTCAAGGATTGAAGCGTCATCCAACTTTTGTAGTCGTCTCTTAGAATTCTCCTTTCACCAAAGCTCCGTGTCCCTTGCAGGCACAGGGCAGCAGATGTTCCTCGTTCAGCAGAAACAAGATTTCCTTTGTTCTAAGCAATTTCCTCTCTTTGCGTTGCAGGCCCATCTGAAAGAATTTTGCCAGCAATCCTACCTGCTTGATATGAAGGCAGGCAAAACCAATTTCTAGAATAAATGGTGAAAAAACCTGCTTAGGAGAAATCATTTAGATCAGAAATGTACTTGATATGTATTGTCAGGCTAAAGAAAGTTACACATATATGTCAATATCAATCCCTCTTCAATATTGGATCTGCTGCTTGTTGGTTTTGAGAGCTTGGCAAATTAAAGCATTGAGTACCAGGTATAGGATCAGCACAAATATCAGGGTTCGCTATTTTTAGTCCACTGTAGTCCTGGAATTTTTCTGATACATTCTTGTCCTTCAAAACCTTCTTTCTAGATTTCATGAGGAAAACACACCCCTTCAGATGAATGTATTTTCGAAATATGTAAAAAATACAAATACACAAATCATTTTAATAGGTACATTTTGGTTGCTTGCCTTCTTGATAACTTCTAGGAAAGTGCTTTAATCTCACCAAAAAATTCTCCTAAATTACACTTTTGTCTAATACATTATTACTTCAGTGCCTGTAAAAATGAAGTCCCTGCCGTGACCTGGGATTATCAGGGAGGGTGGCCTTCCATTGATCTGAGTATTTTGTCTTTGTTACTAGATTTGAGGACAAAACTCTGCCTTTGGACTTAGTTTTCACGTAAGATAGTGAAATGTCAGAGGTAATGAAGCACGGTAGCAACCGTGCTTGGCTAAAAATTGCTGTTTAATATTTTAACCCTGCTGACTTGGCTTCTGTAATTATTTGCTTGCTAAAGTAATAGAAAAGTTATTTTGATTTTCTGAACTCATATAAGTTATCCCATCCGATTAAATACTCCATTGATGGTGGTTAGAATACCCCATTGATTGTGATCTTACTGGCCTTTTGAAACACATTCCTCTGCACCTGGAGACCAGGACAGCACAAATACTCTAAATGGCCTCAGTGGCCCCAGATAACGTGTTTCCGTTGACTCAGTGGTCCCAAGACCCGAAACTGTAATTAATCTTTGTAAGATAACTAACTTGCTCAATCTAAGCTTCTGTAACAAACTGCTTTTTGCAAACCAGGTTCCTCATTCCAAACCTCGAGATGTAATCAGTACCTTTGTGACATTTGCCTATATAAGTCTGATGTCAGCCAAGGGGGCACTGCGAGATTTGGAGAGCATTGCCCCTTTGTAGTCCCGGCTTTGAAATAAATGTGGCTCCTTAATTCGACTTCTTGAGGCGTCCTTGTGTGATTCGCGGGGTACACTACAACAGTAACTAGGCCAACTCTTCTGTTTTCTAAGAGCTAAGGCTGAGAGAGGAAACAAGGCTCTTCTAGGTCAGGATAAGGTAAAGGCTGGGGTGGGATTTCACACGTGGTCCTTTCTCCTACCGTGTATGTCATAGCGATGCAGAGGGAACAGTAATTGATTCTGGAAAACCTTGACAAGTTAACTTACTCTAATGCTTATTTTCCCCATTCTTGACAGAAGAGTGAAAATGAACTCTCATGGGTAAGATTCAAGTGTTTGAGAAATCGTACATCCAGAAATGTTTTCATGACACGCCCTCGTCAGTTACATAACTGCATTCAAGGACATGCACACCATTTGCGATGTTATTTTGTGGGAATTAAATGAGATAATGTATGGCAAGCACTTTGCTCAATGCCTGGCCCACAGAAAGCAGTTAACAAATATTAGCTATTTATACTACAGTTACTTGCTTACATCTGGGAATCCTCATTCAGCCAAAGAGCTGGGCGGAAAACATTTACTCACAATTTTGGAGATAATTACTGTAACATTCTTCACAGCATCTGAGGAGTCAAATAAGAAAAATAGCATCATCACCATGGAAATCTGGGGAAACAAAGACACTAAAGATTTGCAAATGCATTTCAATTACCCAAAGAGGTTAGAAGCAGAAAGAGAAACACACATTCCATTTCTGCGGTCTCCATCGGTTTAAATACTTCAGTGTGAGTGTCTCAAGAAGCTGACTTTAATCGTGAAGCTGATGATAGAAAGCTCTGTGGGCTTCTCCCAGCGACTTCCTTCTTTCTCCATCAGCAGAGCAGCTAGAGCTGCAGGGGTTTGGATGAACACTTCCCCTTTACCGAATGAAATAAACAAAGAGGAACTACATGAGGGCTAGTTTTTAAAACATATTTGTTTTTTCATTATTAAAGAAATAGGCAATAACCACTAATACTTACCAAGTAGAAACCACCTGCCAAGCAATGCACTGAGTGCAATAGTTTGTCCATCCAAAATTCCTGGGAAGTTTACCCCTATCTCTCTTTCCTCAGCCATAAGATGGGGATTAAAAATGATTCAGGCGAAGGCAAGAAGATGTTCTTAATGTAAGTTAAACCTCCATTGAAAGTAAAAATAAATAAATAAAAATGTGTTACGTTGTATAGCTCCCAGTCCGTTTGCCCCTGATAGTGACTTACTGTATCTATTTGGCAGGTAAGGGGTTGTCATTATGTCTTCGTAATTACACTTTGACAGACTCATATTTACATTTGTTTCCATTTCTTATGTTTACAATACGTGGGTGTATACACAGTTTACAAAGTTTAAAGCACTTGGAAATGGGAAATATCGCAGGGCTGACTGGGTGCTGTTGCTGCCTGTGAGTATGAATTTCTGGAAGTTGACAGCAGCCTGTCACTAAATGCTTCGCGGACAATCTGCGAGCCCATAGTGCACAGGCAGCTGTCTCACTGGATCTTTCCACTGAGCCGTCCTACAGGTGTAACTGGAATCAATTTCTGCACTAAGGAAAGAAAAATGTATCTAAGAAACATTTACGCACTTGTTACTAATCTATATAAAGATTATCCACAAGCTATATCAGAATATCCCATTCCAGGGTTACTTTAAACAATATGGCTCTTTGGAGAAGTGAGTGTAAGTAAAATAGACTAGCAGCAAGGAGAATATGTGACAATGTGAATTGTGGGGAAATATACATTGAGACCATTCATTGATTAAATATATATTAGTGTCGATGATGTGCTCTGCACTCCCCCCGGTTAGGAGGACACACAGTAAACTAAACAATGGGCATTCTACAGGGCAGACAAGCAAAATACGCCATGTTGTCAGGCACTGCGATGAAGGAACATACAGCAGGCAAAGGGTGAGACTGCGGGAGGTTCCGGTGAGGAGGTGGTGAGCTGAGGATCCTCCACTGACTTGAAGAAGCCAACCACGTGCATATCTGTACAGAGGGTTTCCTCCTACTAACATTTGCTCATTCTCCAGGAGCCCGAGGGTGAGACTTTAAAAATAAATGTATTTTTAGCCATAGGCACACATCACACCATTAAATTTGACTTTACCAACTGTATGCAAATATGCCAGGTTAGGTATGCGCAGGGATCCTACAAAATGCCAAGAATAAAGAGGTCTTTTCAGGCTTGAACTGCTTGGCAGGCATATTTCATCTAAGAAATGAAGGAAGAGACTTAGGTGGAAGTGAGTCGCTCCTCTCATTGGTTTGTGACCCTGAGTTACTCATCATATAAACCCAAACTGCAGTCACATAGGAGGGTGAGAAAGAATCTAGAGACTCCACAGAGACACGGCACAAGTAAGTGATATGATTGGCCTCCTCAAAGATAAGAAACCAGATACTTTTTACTGTTTAAGGTTTTATTTCTATTACTGTCATATTCTCTGTGTGAGAGTGACTATCTTTTCTCACCATTTCACTTGCTCAGAGCCTCTCTATGTTAGTGGCCAAGTGGAAATCAAATGGTAATTTCTAAGAGAAGTATAGGTCCTAGGTGATTTTAAAAGATTTTTAAAAGACCCTTCAAGTGGATTTTAACATAGAAAATACTGTCAATACCAGAGGGGAAAAGCCTGTCCTGATCCCAGGTTTGTGAATTGTTCCAGAATTTTCCCAAGTGATGTTTTCAGTGTGTGAAGCAGTAGAGAATGTCATAGTTGTTGTTTTTTTCTTTTAAAAAGGTGTAGGGATTTTATTCTTCCCTACCCTCATGTAAAATAGGTATTTTTGTTAGGAAGAAGGAAGATGGACATGGGTGGGCAACTTTGCTGTGTCTCTATCAGAAAGAATTAGAGTTAACACTGAAACCTTCTTAGCATAGTGACTAGCACACAGTGAGTGATTAGTACCTGTTGGCCATTATTATTATAGGTCCTTTCCACCAGGGCCAGGACTAGGAAGGGGCAAGTGAGGGAGTGAGGCGCCCAGGGCACACAGTGTAAGGGGCACTCAGTCTCAGGGTTGGGCAAATGCTGATCCTGCACCTGTCGGAGACTGAGTACCGCCTTGGGAGGAAGGGCCTCTTTCAGGCAAGCAAAAAAAAAAAAAAAAAAAAAATTCAGGTATTTTATTTATAATATTTTCTATCACTTTAAGGCTCATTTTTTGGAAGTGTCCCCGTGTTTTGCCAAGAATTGCATTCTATCATCATTTGGTTTCAAAGATCATTTAAGGCATTTGTCCCAGGCCAGAAATTGGAACTCACAGTTCCCAAAGCATATTTTAATTATTCCTCGTGCTTTGGATTTAATGTGAGGCAAGCATTGAAAATAATTAGTTGGTCTTTGATAGGAAAATAGATATCTTGTCTTGCTAATTAAAAATTAAACATCTGGTGTTTGATTCAAATCCATAACTTACTCAGTTAACAAAAATTTTTATATTTCTCTATTGTCCTACAATTTAACTCCAACCTGGCAACTTCTCCAAAACTGAACTGGAAATGCTCAGGCACTCAGGGAATGAGGGAAATTAGCATGCTTCACCACCAACTGTTAATGGGTTTCATGTCAATATGTGCAAGAAATTCTCGTGTAGACAGTAACATCTCAGGCGATTGCTTTCTGAATCCAATTGTTGCATTTCAAAACACTGTAGTCTAGTCAATGAGAGTACATACATTATGCTCTAATATTACTGGTCAAGTTAGGTTGTAACAAAGAACAGCTGGCAAATTCACAAGCAACCTTTGTTTTTATACTGAAAACTCATAGGCATAAAAAAATCAGTAACATAAAACCGTATCTAGAATTCCCAAGTATGTTCAAAATTCCTTTTATTTAAGAGTAAGAGCTCGCTCATGTAGGCCAACACTTTCATGAATAAAATAAAGTAGGGTAAATAGCATTTAGGTTCTATGGTTAATAATCCCTTACTTGTAAGTTTTCTATCCATCAAAATTACTCCAAAAATCCCATCCCTTTTTTCGGTTACCTGCTGAAATTTTAAGGGGCACAACCTTAATAATTGGATATTAGTCTCCTTTGCCAGAGAGTTACATTTGTTTTTTTTGTGTTAATCCTCACCCAAGGATATTTTTCCATTGATTTTAAGGAGAGTGGAAGAGAGAGGGAAAGACAGAGAGAAACATCAATGTGAGAGAAACACATCAATTAGTTGTCTCCTGCACAAGCCCTGACCATGGCCTGGGCCGGGGAGGAGCCTGCAGCCAAGGTATGTGCCCTTGACTGATATCAAACCCGGGACCCTTTGGTCTGCAGGCTGATGCTCTATCCACTGAGCCAAACTGGGTAGGGTCAGAGAGTTACATTTGGAGTGTTGTCACCTTTCTGGCACAAGCACTAGAATTTTTTAGACTGTTTCACTGTTCTTACAACAATGTGCAGAATAAAATACTGGCTTAGTTAAAATAAAATAGTTTTTATTATAATAAAAGTTTATTTTATCAAACTACTGCTACAATAAACTATCAAATTACTACACTGAAATGTATTATGGTAATATGAAGTAAAAAGAGCTACAAAGCTAGTAGAAAGACAGAACTTTTAAAAACACTGTAAAATATTTAATTTCTAAACTAGTTTAGCATATGTTAAAGCTAAATCTTCTTTTGCATTTAATGGCTAAATTCATATGCATTCATATGTGAAAGTTTCTATGCAGGGTATTTACTAGTCATTATTCATATGGTGTGTTTTTAAGAAACTATGTATCTTATTTTTCAAAGAGAATTCTAAGAGGGCTTTTATTTGTCTGCTGAATCAGGAACTTTACATGACTTTCTTTGGAGTAGAAGGAAGGTAGTGGTTAGTTTTACGAATAAAGGAGTTCTTTAAGCACAAACAACGGTTTAACTTCCTGTTTCTGTATCATTTCAGGAAAATATGCAGCTTTCCCTACGTATGTGGGATTCTTAACACAGAATGACAGTAGAAGGGCTCAGCAACGAAGCTAACAGGAAATAAGAGGCCAGCATGACACTAGAATTTCCGTAGGCCAGTCAAATCATATTTAGGTCTATAACCCACCTGGGTGTTATTTTCATGTATTATGTAAAGTTGGAATCTGATTAGGTGTGTTTTTCCTCCTTTGTCTCAGAACCATTTTTTGTTGTTGTTAATCCTCACCTGAGGATATTCTTCCATTGCTTTTTAGAGAGAGTGGAAGGGAGAGGGCGAGATAGAAACATCGATGTGAGAGAGAAACATCCATTGGTTGTCTCCTGCCCATGCACCAACCAGGGCCAGGGATTGAGCCTGCAACCAAGGTACGTGCCCTTGACTGGAATCCAACCTGGGACCCTTCAGTCCATAGGCTGATGCTCTATCCACTGAGCCAAATCAGCCAGGGTGTCTCAGAACCATTTTAACCTTGTCCCTTTGTGTCCCCACTGTAATGTCGTATCAGCTGTGTATTATCTGAGGTTCTGTTTTGAGATGCTATGCATCTCTGTATGTCTAGTCCTAGACAAAGATCACATTATCTGAACTGCAAGGTTTTCTATATGTCCTGCTATCTGGTAGGTCCAGTCCTTTCCTTTTCTCTTAATTTATCTTGGCTACTTGGTCCTTAGCATTTCCATTTGAAATTCAGGATCAGATTTATCTTGGATTTTGAAGGTAGACAATCATCTTACTAATAAAAGCCTAGGTGGTCCTCACGCCGTCACAAGATGGCTGCGCGCATAGCGGGCACACGCAGGTGGGCGGGGCTGGGCTTGACACTGCATGCATGGCACCGAGCCTGCCTGGGAGTCCTGCCTCCTCACAGCTCTGCTCATGGTCAGGCCTGGGGGGTCCAGCCTCCCCAGCTCCAGCCTGGGAGGCCCGGCCTCCACGGCTCCGGCCTACCTCTTTGGGGCGATCAATCACAGGGCTCCCGCACTGTGACAGAGCACAGGCCAGGCTAGGGGACCCCCCAAATGCTTCTGTTGGTTTTCCATTATGTATGATGTTTGCTCTGAGGTTTTTGTAGAGACTCTATTAGATTTAGGAAGTTTTTCTCTATTTCCAGTTTGCCAAGAGGTTTGTGTTTGTTTGTTTTTTAAGATTTTTTAACATGAATGAATGATTAATTTTATACATTTTTAAAAGGGTTTATTTGCATCTATTGAGAATATGATTTATGTTTTTTTTCTTTTAATCTATTACTGTCATATATTGTACAGATAGATGTTTTGGTGATGACACATCTTCCATTCCTGGGTTAAACGTATCTTGTCATTATATTTTATTTCTTTTTATACTCTACTAAATTTGAATAGCTAATAAGTTATTTAGAGTATTTATATCTATGTTTATAAGTAAGATATATCTATACTCTTCCTCTTTTAATATATCTTTGACTTTTCTTAATTTTTCAATTCCCTGATACTACTTGTAAAAGACAAGGATTGTCTTTTCCTTGAAGATTAAGTAAAATTTGCCTGTAAAAATACCTGGGCCCTGTGTCTTTCGTGGGTGTAACTAATTACCCATTCGGTTTCTTTACTGATTATTGTTAAATGCAGGCTCTTGGTTTCTTTTTTATTTGATTGTGTTAATGTATAAACCTCTCAAATTTTCCCCATTTAGATTTAGTGACATAAAGTTATCTATAGTGGTAGCTTATGATTTTTAATGATCTGTTTTATCTGCTATGACCTCTTTTTATTTGTAACATTAATTACTTGTGACTTTTCAGATATTTTCCTCTTAGAGGTGGCAATTTGACCTTTTAAAAATTTTTATAAAACTGGCCGCCAGACCCTAGTTTCTTTTTTTTTAAAAAAATATTTTATTGAAATTTTACAGAGAGGAAGGGAGAGGAATAGAGAATTAGAAACACTGATGAGAGAGAAACATCAATCAGCTGCCTCCTTCACACCCCCCATTGGGGATGTGCCCACAACCAAAGTACATGCCCTTGACTGGAATTGAACCTGGGACCATTCAGTCCGCAGGCCGATGCTCTATCCACTGAGCCAAACCGGTTAGGGCCAGACCCTAGTTTCAAGCGCTACCATTTTATGGGCAGGATTTTATTCCCCTTTATTCTGAAGGAGCTAACCTCCTGGCTGGCCCCGCCTCCCGCAGAATTTAGAGTCCTGCTCTTTGCGTTTGTTTCTGCTCACTTTGGCCCAGGCAAAGCTTATCTTGCTTTTAATCCCAACTATGTATTTTCTTTCTATATTTCATTTTTATTTTTTTGTGCTTGCAGCAGGACGGGTTTATCAAAGAACATGATCTTGAGGATTTGAGTCCAGTCAAATCACACAAAGCTGGACACTCGCCTCCACTATGGTGGGAGCCATGCCTCCCTTTCCTTCTCCTTCCCTCTCTTCCTTTTTATTCTCCCTTTTTTCTTTTTCAACTCATACCACTACCAGAGAATTAAACGCCCTGGTCGCTCGTGGGAGTGAGGTTCTTGCCATATCTTCAGAAAAGGAATTTTCTAAGATTTGGATGGCAGGATGGGATGTGGTGTGAAGTTCTTTTTCCCAGGTCCCAAAATCCCTTGCCCCTAAGCCAGTCCTGGAAAAGGTGCGGCTGGGTTCCAGCAGAACCAGCAGCAAGGCCAGTGTCCAGAGTTTCCGTGCCATGTTGCAGCCGGTGTGGTTCGGAATCCAAGCTGATTAAAGCCCATTAGTCCATGTGTGGAGGCCCACATGGCCGTGCACTAGGTGGGTGCAGGGGAGCGCACCCCCTTGCCACAGGAGAGCCAGGAACCTGGTGCACGAGAGGGAGAAGAGTAAGAGGGGAGAGCAGGAACTTCCTTTGTTAGGAAGTTTTAAATATTCAGGTTTCATGTATTTGCAGTGGTCGCGCCCATCCTAGTGGCCACTCATTTGTTCCCAGGTGTGACTGGCAGACATGTAGGCACCTTTGCACATCACGCGGACCTTACTGGGCATGTGTCTAAACTGCCTTTGTCCAGTCCCTTCCCCATCGATCAGCGGGGAACAGACGTGGAGAGTGTTAAATGCAGCTGTACAAATGGCCTGCCTCTACTATTTGGTCTTCTCTTGCTCCTTTCCTGTAACTAACAACCAGGTTATTACAACAGCATCAATACCATGTGCCAAGCACCATATTTTACACACAATAGTTTCATTACCATTTTACAGGAAAGGAGACTAAAGCTAAGAGCAGGTGACCTGCTCAAGACCATTCAGGTTGTGTCAGGGGTGACTCCAAAACCATACCTTGCCTTCACCTTGAAGTTGTTCCTCATTGCATCCTTTGGTGGGGGCTGTGTTATGTTTTACCTTTGTCCTTTGGTCCATCATTTTTATGAAATAAAGTCTTTAATAAAGTGAGATTACTGAGACAATGCTAAATGAAATAAGAGGGGGGGAAATATATTATTCTAGACACTATCCTCTATTTCCTTATCTATTTTCATTGGCCATAGAAACATTTACTTGAAATTCCTAATGTTAGTTTTTAAGCCAAAGCTTTACAAAATATAGAAAGGATTTTTAGAATCAGTAAATGTTTCCAACTGCATTTACCTTTACTCATTTTTGTTGGTGTTGTTATAAAAATGAACACGTATATCCTGAAAAACAAAAGTCTTCAAGTTTGGGATTTGTAGCTGTAGAAATCAAGAAAACAGATTCTTGTTCAGTAGAAAATATAATTATGCAAGTAACTACAAGAATGTGGTGTGCCAGTACAGCTTCATTAATGAGTTCCGACTGTTGAAAGGATGTTCTGGAAGGAGAGATAAGCAGTTGTCAGATGTTCACAGGCCTGTGCCAAATCTTAGATTTAAAGATATATTTGCAGAGAAATGTAGATAACTACCCATCTCTGCCAAGAGTTTTAAAATATCTTCTGTGCAATTTAGAGACAGAGAAGCATTGATCAGACTGTCAAACCTCAGAGAGAAGGTAGGGGAGGGTGGGGATAAGGGGGAGAGATCAACCAAAGGACTTGTATGCATGCATATAGGCCTCACCAATGGACACAGATACCAGAGGGGTGAGGGCATGAGGGGAGGGGCGGGGAGGGGGGGCAAAGGGGAGATAAGGACACATACGTAATACCTTAATCAATAAAGAAGATTAAAAATAAAAATAAAATATAAAATATCTTCTGTGCTTGAGTGAAATGCACTATAAAATAGCATAATGTTGTAAATTAACAACAATACAATCCCTTTTTTTTCATGCAGAATTGAGGAGTTAGACATTTATGTGGCATTTGACCAAATGAGAAAAGGTTACATTTTAATGTTGACCATAATGGACATATATGAACCTATATGTACATGTAATGTTTATAAAAGAATATATAATTTCTTTATTTTTATGGAACCCTTGACCTAAGACAACAAAAATCAATGTAAAATGCTTTTCAAATAGGAACTGCAACAAAGAATGACACTTTTCCCACTCTGAAGAAGTTGTTGTTGTTGTTCTTTTAAGATTTAAAACAAATAGATTAAAGAATTACAACAATTATGCTTTTTATTTCCTAGATAAGAATTTTTCCTTTATGATTACATAAAATGTTTCTTTTTTTCAGAAGGAAATCTACTACTTCACATTTTTCATTTATTTTTTGTGCTCTCATATCTTTCCCACTATTTATTTCTAAGCTCAGCATTTCTAAGGGACTTGAAAATAGTCTCATTATTCTGATGGGCAATTCCTTTAGTTCCCCAACTATGAACTTCCTGTATGCATTCTTTCCCAAAGGAATTTAGGGCTGTAAACGTTGGAATATTTATTAGTTTACTCCAGTGAACTCTTGTCCACAGAGAACATTCCCTCACATATTGATGCGGTGACATGCAGCACCTTTCACTTGGGTGGGAAATGGATGGCGAATGGGATGAGACAGGACACAGAATGATCCGGGGGACTTTTTAGCAAGGAGCACCACTCCACAACCTGCGCACATGGAAACCCCGGCCCAGAGAAACGACTCCTTAGGAAGCACCAGCCCATCATTTCCTGGGCTGAGGGGGTCTAGATAGTCAACCAGACCATGCTTTCCAGCCGTCCTCTCCACAGATAGATACCATGAATGCATGAACCTAAACTATGCACTTTGGTGATTTAGATTTCTATGTTTTGTGTTTGACCTTTTATGTGATGTGACTTCGATGGAACTTTGAGGCTGGAGCCCAGCTTTTCTTTTTATCTAACATTCTAGTAATATCTTTGAAAGATTTCCTTAGTAGAGAATAAAATGTTTAAACTTGCCAGTTTAAATAAATAATTGTTACTTATGATTTTTATTTATGCAATTATTATAATTATTATTTTTAGTGTGCTCTATTCAAAGTGCTTATTCTTCACTATAGAACCAGTTCAAAGTTATTATTATTAATAACTAATAATTATTAAGTGTTTAGCATTGTTCTAAATGCTTTACATGTATTACCTCATTAAATCGCCAAATCCATATTAATATCTTTCTCTATAAAAAGTGTGATTTAAAATTCAGTGAGATTTTGTTGGCTAGCTCAAAAATACACAGTAACTACATGAAAGAACCGAATTTCAAATGAAAATGTTTCTAATTATTATACAATTACAATACAGTCTACTATTAGTGCTTAAAATAATTAATTGTTTAAACACAATGGAAATGAGCCTTGGCTGTTGTGGCTCAGTGGTAGAGTTGTCCCATGCACCAAAGGGTTGTGGGTTCGATTCCCAGTCAAGGGCACATACCTGGGTTGCAGGTTCATTCCCCTGGTCAGGGCACATGTGGGAGGCAACCAACTGATGTGTCCCTCTCACTTCAATGTTTCTCTCCCTCTCTGTTCCCCTCCCTCCCTTCCACTGTCTCTAAAAATCAATGGAAAAAATATTCTTGGGTGAGGATTAACATAAACAAAAAATAATGGAAATGAAATTACACAAAACATAAAAATCTCACAAAATGATATAGTGACATGCATCTAGCCAGTAGAGCTAGTATTAGAAAACTCTCTGAAATAGAAAGAAAGTTTGCTTGCTTTCTTCCTTGCTCCTCTACAGGGGGACTGGAGAATTATGTTCACCGTTGTCACATCCCAACAGAGGTCCCCAAGATGGGGTATGTTTATATGCTGCAAGCAACCCAGTAAAGCCAGCAGCATGGACCAGTAAGAAAGAAAAGAGAGCATTGTTTCCCTAAGCCTTTGATTCCCAGAGGGAAAAGCCACGGGTGAGGGGAGAGGGGGGTGAGAGGTTGGCATGGCTGGCTCATGTTTCTGCTGCGTGTGCCCTGCCCCTTCCATCCGTACCCAACTGTCCTCACAAACTCAGCTGTGTCAACAAAGCAAACAACAAACCAAATGTCAAACACCATCTATTACAAGTGACTAAAGGCAGGACAAAGACATCTTAAAATGCAAAGTTCTGACTCCATCCTCTGAAGGTTGGTAGGCAGATACCCTCTTACTCAGGAGTCTTTTTATAATAAAATTAAATTTGGTTATTTCACTGGAATGTTCCAGCTAGTTCTTAAAAAGAGTCCTGATGTTATTTCATGTCATTCCATATATTACTAGGATAGTGATTTATAATTATGGTTTTGAAATATCTTTTAATATCTCCCATTATCTCAAAAGATGCCATAAAGTTTTCAAAATGTCCCCAAAGAAAAATGTTGAACATCTCTAGAGGGCTGTAAAAATAATCCCTCCATTTTTCTCTTTCCAGAATTACACAATGCCAAGCTACAAACTCATTTATTTTAATATGAGGGGGAGAGCAGAAATTATTCGTTACATATTTGCATATTTGGACATAAAGTATGAAGACCACAGAATAGAACAAGCTGATTGGCCTGAAATCAAACCAAGTAAGTAGCACAAATAGTTGATGAAAATGTAGGGAAAATATTTTCCCAGAATGTTTTCTTTCTTCAGGGAAATGAAAAACTAAAGAATTTTAATCTCACATAGCTTTATATTGAGAAACAGCAGTTCAGGGAAGCTAAATAAATGCTATGTGACCCAGAAAATTTCTTATTTGAGGTGAAAATACAAACACCAGTGAAAGAGAATATAAAGATAAACCAATATGTCAGAAGAGCTGAAATGGGGATACTGAAGTCAATTTTTTTTAATCCTCACCTGAGGATATTTTTCCATTGATTTTTAGAGGCAATGGAAGAGGGAGGGAAAGACAGAGAGAAATATTGATGTGAGAGAAACACATTGATTGGTTGCCTCCTGCACCAGCCCCAACCAGGGCCCAGGCCCGGGAGGAGCCTGCAACCGAGATACGTGCCCATGACTGGAATCGAACCTGGGACCTTTGGTCTGCAGGCTCACGCTCTATTCACTGAGCCAAACTGGGTAGAGCTGAAGTCAATATTCTTGACAATTAGAGTTGCTGCGGATCTCTATGTTTTTTCACAGTGGCTCAGATGTGCTGCTCTAACAGAAAACCAAACTCAAAATGGCTTAAATAATAATTTTTAAAAAAATGAATTGTATCACAAAACTGAAAATCCAGAAGTAGAACAGGTTTCCAAGGATGGCTCTATTCATTTCCTCCTCTGTGTGTTGGCTGTATCATGAGGCTGGTAGCCATGTGCTTACTGCAATTCCAGCCACACAGCCTTGAACAGCAATGCTAAGAGGATATATGAGAAAGAGTAAGGGAGAGAACTGCTCCTTAAGTGTTTCCAGAAGAATAAAGAAAAGCTTTCCCAGAAGCCCTCAGCAAGTTTCCCACGTCTCGCTGGCACAAACTGAGTCACATGTCCATTTCTGAATCAGTCACTGGCAAAGGGGATGGGAAGAACTGGAGAACCACCCAGTCCCCCTCTGAAGTTGGGGATGGAATCAATTTCTGTGAGGCATGTGACTATATAAGAGGGGGGTGGATATGAAAACAAAACTGGGATCTGTTTGATCAGAGAAAAGAGCAAATGGACAAATCAGTCGGGTAACCCAATCAAAACATGCAACTTAGCATTGAGGACAATGGGGAAGAATTGGAAATATCATTACATTTAGCAAACAACAGTGTGTGGTTCTCAATAAGCTGTAAGTCATCCTCTGTAAGATGTTTGCCATGTTATCTAGAAATATTAAATACTAATTACATCTAAAATCCACATATTTATCGCTGGATTATTATAAAATCACATAAAGATGAAGTTGAAGAAAATAACTATTGGGTCCTTGAAGACTAGCTGGCACTTGGTAGATACTCTACACTGTAGAGTCTACAGCCTCTGTTGCATTTAATTTATCTAGCATGCCTACATGGGATATATTATTATTTTTATTCTATAATTGGGATAACTGAAATGCACAGAGTTTAGGTAATTTTCCCAAGTTCACAGCCCTAGCAATTTTGAAACACAGGTCAATTTCATACTATGACCTGAGCTTCTTGTACTAGATAATGCTGACAGCAATAACACTGTGATAAATGGAATGTAAACAATAAGTATTGCAACGTGCCTTTGGGAAGCATGAGTTCCTTAAAAGCCACTCTTTGTGATCAGAGAATTCTTCTCTGGTGGGGTAGAATATTTTGTTTTCTGTTCTCATGAAAATTTGCCATTGATGTCCACACGTTTCTTCCAATATCAGAATTTTTATATGGGGTTTTTCATTCTGTGGACATAAAATAGGTGAAAATTAATTCGACCACTAATTAAGTCAAGAGATAGAGATAATACATTTAAAAATGTCAGCTTTTAGATACGTTTTTAGATATTTTTTAGTGCCTCATACCCTATTTTACCTTAACTTTTCATTGTTATTGAAAAATGGAATTGCTGGATTTTCTTAATATTTTAAAAAATATCTTTATAGAGTTGAAAGGGATCTTAAAGTTTATGATAGTTAGGATATGGTGTCAAATAACAGAGACCGAACACAAAAGTGGTTTAAAGAGGATAAAAATTTGTATCTTTTGCATAAAAGCCCACATATATACACTATAATTATTTTTCAATATATATGGGAAAGCAATAAAATACTAAAATGGTTATAATTATGTGGTAGAACTATTTTTATTTATCTTCATTTTGGAAGCTTTCTATAATATATATTGCTTTCTAACAAAAATATAATAGGTTTGATAACAAAACAAAGTAGGGCTTACAGACTAAATATTAATATGATATCTGCTATGAGTCTGTCCTATGTTTGTACAAATATGCTTGCTGCCTTACCATATACTTCAAATAGTCCCTCATCAAAAAGAGAATTTTGCTAAATTCCTTACCATAATTCAACATGTAAGTCAAGCTCTTCATATTACTCAGACTATGGTTTTAAAGAATAATTAATGTGATCCCTGATTAAGGCCTCAAAAATTAATGAAGCTTTTTTAAAAAAAAGGTGTTTGTTTTTTTTTAAATTAAGTAGAAGGATATGTAAGTACTAGTATATGAGATAATGTATGGTATAATATAGAGTTAACTGGGTTTTCGACCTGGTTCTGTCATTAACTGAATAGAAGGTCTTCTAACAAACAACTCTATTTAAAAAAACAAACAAAAAACTTGTAAAATGTAAAGATTCCACTTGAGGATGCTTAATGTCTCTTTTAAAATAAATGTTCAAGAATTCCATGACTTTAAAATCATGCCTTGTTTCCACAAGTATCAGTAAAAAATGGGAGTATTGTAATACTTGATTTTATTATGGAAGTTGATTCTTTCCTCTTTTTATTTTAAGCTCTTCCATTTGGCAAAATACCCATTTTGGAAGTTGATGGACTTAATCTTCACCAGAGTCTAGCAATAGCGAGATACTTGGCCAAAAACACAGGTAATATGTGTATTGTGTTTTAAGATTTTTGATGACTGACAAAAAAATTAGTCCTGGCCGGTGTGGGTCAGTGAGTAGAGCGTTGGCCTGTGGACTGAGGGGTCCCAGGTTGGATTCCGGTCAAGGGCACATGCCCGGGGTTGTGGGCTCGATCCCCAGTAGGGGGCATGCAGGAGGCAGCCGATCCATGATTCTCTCTCATCATTGATGTTTCTATCTCTCTCTCCCTTTTCCTTCCTCTCTGAAATAAAAAATATATATAAAAAAATAAAAAAATAATAATTAAAAAATTTATATTATATATATATACCATATTCATTAAACAAGTTTATTTTTTAACCAAAATAATGTGTATATAAAATTTATGTTGCACTAACACATATTTCAACAAATGGAATTCTTTGCAAGTTTAGAAGAGATGAAGATTCCTTCTGACTATGAAAATTTGACTTTGAAGTGAAAATGACATTTGAGTTGAGCTTGAAGGATCCCTAGAATTTCAAAAGGAAGACTTGGACTTGGGCAGTGTTTCTCAGACTGTGTGTGCATCAGGATAGCACGGAGGCTCATTAAAACTCAGAATGCTCAGCCTTGACTGCAGAGATTGTGACTCAATCGTCCTCGGGTAGGACCCAAAAGTTTGCATTTTTAACTATTTCCTCGATGATGCTGATGCAGCTGGTCCATGGACTTCATTTGGAGAATCTTTGGGCTAGAACACTCCAGGCAGAGAGAATATGAAAAGCACTTTAAACTTGCAGAGTTGATCTAGCTTGTTTGGCTCAGTGGATAGAGTGTGGGCCTGCAGACTGAAGAGTCAGAGTTCGATTCCAGTCAAGGGCCCTTGCCTGGGTTTCCAGCTCCATGCCCAGTAGGGGGCCTGCAGGAGGCAGCCGATCAATGGTTCTCTCTCATCATTGATGTTTTTATCTCTCTCTTCCTCTCTGAAATCAATAAAAATAATTAAAAAATTTAAAAAAATTGCAGAGTAGAGTAGTAGAAAGAGAAACTGATAGAAAAATAGATTGGGATCTGGTTAGAAAGATTCACAGTATGGATGTCATTCCTTAAGCAATTGTAGGTTTTCAAAATTGAGATGTAATCCTATATAATAAAAGGCTAATATGCAAATTGTCCCCTTGGGAGTTCGACTGACCATGAATTCGACTGCTCACTATAACGTGCTCTGATCACCAGGGGGCAGTGCAGATGAGCTGGGGAAGGAAGGCCCTGGCTGGCAGCCGGAAAGCCCCAATCGGTCCTGATCGCTGGCCAGGCCTAGGGACCCTATCCATGCACAAATTTCGTGCACTGGGCCACTAGTTGACATATAAAATTAGATTAGCTTCAGGTGTACAACATAATGATTCTATATCCTACATAATAAAAGCCTGATATGCAAATTATGACCAGTCGGTGGTGGGTAGAGCTGGTGAGTGGGTGGAGCCAGGCCAGCCAAGGCGGGTGCCAGTGGGCAGAGGGAGAGGACAGCGATTGAGAGGTGGTGGCGACCAGCAGTGGCGGAGGGGCGATTGGGGGGCGGGACCAGCTGCTCACCGGCTGGCACCATCCCCTGATCAGCCCATGGGTCACCTCCTGCAGAAGGAGGCCAGACTGCCTAAGCTGTCAGTCGGACATCCCCTTAGGGCTCCTGGTCTGTGGGAGGGTGCAGGCCGTGCTGAGGGACACCCCAAGTGCACAAATTTTTGTGCACTGGGCCTCTAGTATTTATATATTAAGTAATCACCAGGATAAATCTAGTTAATATCCATCACCACTCATAGTTACAAATAATTCATGAGATGAGAACTTTTTAAAAAAAAATCCTCACCTGAAGATATGTTTATTAATTTGAGAGAGAGAGAGAGACATCTATGTGTGAGGGAAACATTGATTGGTTATCTCCTGTAAGCACCTGACCTGGGATCCAACCTGAAACTGATGTATGTGCCTTGACCAGGAAACGAACCTGCAACCTTTTTTTGGTGTATGGGACGATGCTCCAACCAACTAAGCCACCTGAACAGGGCTTGTGATGAGAACTTTTAAGATCTATTCTCTTAATAATTTTCAAATATACTATACAGTACTAGAGGCCCGGTGCACGACATCCCTCTTGAAATCTGAGACCCCTCGTTCCTAACCGCCCATCTGCTCTCTCCTTACCACTTGGCTTGCCACTCCTTAGTGCTGCAGTGGAGGCAGGAGAGGTTTCTGCCACCACTGCTGTGCTCGGCAGCCATGAGCACAGCTTCTGGCTGAGCGGCACTCCAGCTGTGGGAGTGCACTGACCACCAGGGGGCAGCTCCTGCATTGAGAATCTGCCCCCTGGTGGTCATTGTGCGTCATAGCGACCGGTCATTCCACCGGTCATTCCCCTGGTTGTTCTGCCATTCGGTTGATTTGCGTATTAGGATTTTATTATATAGGACTAGATGCCCGGTGCACAAAAATTTGTGCACTCGGGAGGGGGGGGTCCCTCAGCCCTGCCTGTGCCCTCTCACAGTCTGGGACCCCTCACGGGATGTCCACCTGCTGGCTTAGGCCTGCTCCCCAGGGGATTGGGCCTAAGCTGGCAGTCAGACATCCCTCTGACAGCCCGGGAGCCCTCGGGGGATGTCCACTTGCCAGCTGGGAGCAGGCCTAAGCTGCAGTCGGACATCCTTAGTGCTGCTGAGGAGGCGGGAGAGGCTCCTGCCACCACTGCTGTGCTGGCAGCCATCAGCCTGGCTTGTGGCTGAACAGAGCTCCCCCTGTGGGAGCACACTGACCACCAGGGGGCATCTCCTGCATTGAGCGTCTGCCCCCTGGTGGTCAGTGTGTGTCATAGTGACCAGTCATTCCCAGTCATTCTGCTGTTAGGGTCAATTTGCATATTACCCTTTTATTATATAGGATAGTCGCCATGCTATACATTATATCCCCAGGAATTTGTACCTTTTGACTACTTGTACCCATTTCACCCAGCCCACACTCCTCCCTCCCCCTGCCAATAATCAATCTATATTGTATTAAGTTTAGTTTAGTTTTGTTTTTTAAAATTCTACCTATAAGTGAGATCATACATTATTTATCTTTCTCTGCCTGACTTCATTTGTATGTTTTTACCCAGAAAGCTACATAACGATAGTTATGACTTTGGGGAGATTATTCTGGCCATACTTTGTATTTAATTAGCCTGACTGAGGGATGCACATTTGGATGTCATTAAAATAGTTCAGACAGCAACAGGAAAGAAGGAGTGAGAAAAAAGACAACAACAAGAAATGTTGTAGAGATAGAATCATCATCATATGGACTAGAAAATAGATAATGGCATGTGGAGGGCAGCATATTTGAACAAGGGAGTAAGGGCCAGGCATTGACTAGCAATATCCCTTTCAATGACTGTCTTCTCTAGAAGACCATGAGTGACATGCAGACAAGAAATTTTTTGTTTGTTTGTTTGTTTGTTTATTGCTGTAGCCCTAGTTGGGGTTGATCTACAGTTGGAGCCAAGTAATTATTTGTTGAATGAATGAAGAGGGAAGAGCTGGTTTGAGGTAGAATGTGATGACTCCATTTTGGGATTTGTTGAAGGAAGTTCAGGGAGCCAAAAGGATACGCAGCAAACAATCCAAAAGGAAGCTGAGCGTAGGGCCTGGTCTTTAGGACTAAAAGTATTGATAAGGAGTCATTTGAATAAAATTGATAACCAAAGCCTTGAACATGGAATTCAAAGTCGGGATGAAAATGATGTATTTGAAAGGACTTTTCTTTTTATTAAATTTATCTTTATTGCTGAAAGCATTACAGATGCCACCCTTTTTTCCCCATTAACCCTCCAACCCACACCCATCCTGGAAGGACTTTTCAAGGGCAGAAAGAAGAAATCAACCTCTGAAAACTGTTGCCAGAGAATCTAATTCCTCCCTAGCTCTTGGGAGTGGGGTTAGCACTTAAATAAGAATTTTCAGAAGCCCCCATGGGAGAATGAGATGTGGTAAACGGCTTTGTTTGCATGGATTCACATGCCTCAGGTTTTAAAGTCCCATCTCCCTTAACCAAGTCCTGAAAGAGGGGCAGCTGTGGGTTCAGCAAAGCCAAAAGCAAGCCGTGTGCAGAGCTTCCGTTCCATGTTGCAGCTGAGTACAGTTCAGCATCCAAGCTAATTAAAGTCCATTAGTTCATTGTGTGGAGTCCCCCGTGGCCGTGAGTCATGTGGGTGAAGGGGAGCGCAACCCCCTGCAGCAGGAGTCAGGGGCCCAGGCAAGCACTCAAGAGAAGAGTGTGCTCCTTTGTCTAGAGATTGACTCTAGAAGTTTAAATATTCAGGTTTCACGCACTTGCAGTGGCCACACCCATCCCGGCCACTCACTTGTTTCCAGGTGTGACTGGGAGACAGGTAGGCACCTTTCTATGTTACTCAGACCTTACTGGGCATGTGTCTAAACTGACTTTGTCCAGCCCCTTCCCCATCAATCAGTAGGAAACAGACTTGAAGGGTGTTAAACTGTAGCTTTTTGCCAAAGCTGTATAAATGGCATGCCTATATTATCTGGTCTCCCCTTTACTCCTTTCCTGTTAAATAATAACCAAGTTATTACGACGGTGCCAATACCACACACACACGATATAGTTTACAGAAGGACCCTAAATCACTAAGGCATTTCTTTCTTTCCCGTTAACAGCTTGCTGAGGTGTGATTTATATACAATTTACTCACTGTCAGTATACTGTTCCTCGATTTTTAGTAAATACACACAATTGTATAAAAGCAATCTATTTTAGAATGCTTTTACACTGAAGAATTTTAAATTGACACCAGAGAGAATATATTTAGAAAGACCAATGATTTCTTAGCAAAATGATGATCAATAAAAGAAAAAACCCCACCTCTATTATTTTAAACTTAGAGTTTCTAGGAACAAATGCTCTGGACAAAAACTGCCTGCAAAAATGAAAATAATTCTTTTTGCAAAATAAATGAAATATATATATACTGGTTATTTATTGTGGTATTGCTTGTATTAGCAAAAGATTGAGAGCAAACCTAATCAGCTGAGGGTAAGTAGAATGTGGCACTTCTACTGAAGGAAGTTCCATGGAGCTGAAAACAGAGCAAGGACGCCCGTAAGTGACGCGTGAGGAAAAATCACTGGAACAAATGGGAGAGGCACATATTGAGTGGAAAATCACTCTTATTTTCATAAAGAAACAATGAAAGAATATAAAAGAAATTAATAATTCAAATTAATAAAAAATATGGTAGTTGGTAACAGCAAAATAAGATGGATAGGGGCAAGAGTGGAAGTTACTCTTCATTGGATATTGTTTTCTGTTATTTTGAATTTTTGAGCTATATGAATCTATTGCCTTCTAAAAAAATTAATGTTTTAATATAGTAAATTAAGTTGAACATATTTGTGGGCCTCTCTCTATTCTACAGATTTGGCTGGAAAAACAGAACTGGAACAATGTCAAGTTGATGCTATCGTGGACACATTGGATGATTTCATGTCACGGTTTCCTTGGGCCGAGAAAAAACAAGATATAAAAGTAATGTGATCAGTTTGCTATTACTGTTATTAATCAGATCCACTTTGTCAAACACATTGTTAGGTGCGTTTTTAAGTCCCTTTTTTTTAACAGAGTTAGACAGACCTATAGTTTAAAAATGACAAATTATATTTAAAAGTTTAAAACAAAGTACAGTGATTCTCTGCCTTACCCTTTTCACAATAACCCCTAAGATACAACCCTCTTTTTAGTGCTTTTAGCTGTTGCTTTAGGATCTTCACTTCTCCATATATCAATAGGATATATAAAAATGGCTTACTTTGATTGACTCATTTTAGATTCTATGGACATCTTAGTATAGTAATAAGAATTTAACTCTTAGCCCTGACCGGTTTGGCTCAGTGGATAGAGCGTCAGCCTGCGGACTGAAGGGTTCCAGGTTCGATTCCGGTCAAGGGCATGTACCTTGGTTGTGGGCACATCCCTAGTAGGGGGCGTGCAGGAGGCAGCTGATCGATGTTTCTCTCTCATCGATGTTTCTGACTCTCTATCCCTCTCCTTTCCTCTCTGTAAAAAATCAATAAAATATATTAAAAAAAAAAAAAGAATTTAACTCTTAGCCCAGCCAGCGTGCTCAGTGGTTGAGTGTCAACCTATGAACCATGTGGTCACTGTTCAATTCCAGGTCAGGTCACATGCCTGGGTTGCAGGCTTGAGCTCCAGTGTGGGGTGTGCAGGAGGCAGCTGATCAATGATTGATTCTCTTTCATCATTGATGTTTCTATCTCTCTCTCCCTCTCCCTTCCTCTCTGAAATCAATAAAAATATAGATTTTTAAAAAAATAATTTAACTCTTACAGTCATCCTCTCTGCTTCCTGTAAACTCCCAATATAATAAAAATTTTTGTTAATCAGTATTTGGTGACTACATTAGTATCCCCATGCAAACATTATACAAAACTGTGCACCATGGTATAGTTTTTTGAAAAATATTTTTATTGATTTCAGGGAGGAAGGGAGAGGAGAGAGAGATAGAAACATCAATGATGAAAGAGAATCATAGATTGGCCACCTCCTGCACGCCCCCTACTGGGGACTGAGTCCACAACCTGGGAATGTGCCCTGACCGGTAATTGAACAGTGACCTCCTGGTTCATAAGTCGACGCTCAACCACTGAGCCATGCTGGCCGGGCCATAGTACACTTCGATAATATTTCCTTTCTCACTTTTCCTCTTCAAAGTTAGTAATTGTCTTTTTGCATTTGCTTCATTCTTGTTAAACCTTCCCACACTATCCTATAACCTACTAATACAGTTTTCCACAGCGTCGATGACATAATAACCCATTATTCCCATTATTTTCTCGTCGATATCTGGCCAGAGCCTCCCATTGTCCTCTGTAGAGCTGACTAGGTTTTCTGCACAGCTGTCATACTTCCCTTCACTGCCATCCCAGGGTTGTCTTCCTTTTGAGTTGGGGTCTGTCTCTTGGATGCCATCCTCTATCTTTATTTCCTCCTTTGTTTATTTGGGGCACATATTCCCATTCCAAAAATGAAAATGAAGGCTTGATGACAGGAGATATGGCAGCAGACAGTATGGATATGTCCCTCTTTTGTGTCTCTGGTTTGGTTGCCCTAGACACCCAGTGCACAGTTGTCCCATCCTGAGATCTTTATCATCTTGGATGCTTCATTCAGTGCTTTTCTGGGGCCATTCTCCTGGTTTCTGTCCTTGTTTTTGTGGAGTAATCCTCTAATAGCTTACTGAGCATAGGAAAAAGTTTGGGGCCTAATTTGTCTAAAAATGTTTTTATTTCATCTTGATACTTGATTCAAACTTTGGCTGAATATAAAATTCTTGTTGAAAGTAATTTTTCTTTAGTATTTGAAAAACATTTATCTATGGTCTCCTAGCTGTTGAGAAGTCTGAATCCAATCTAATTACCAACATTTTCTATGTGACTTTTTTTCCTCTAAAGCTTTTTGTTCCACATGACAAAGACCCCACTGATTGGCAGTCTGTCAACTTATGGGCTTGCCCTTATCTCTTTCTCTATTTGGTACCCTTCTGTGGCCACGTCACAGAGGAAAATGTTGTTTGAGTGTTTATGGTAAGGTTATCTTTTGTATGAGAATAACAATGCTCTTACCACCTACCTCAAAAAAAAATTTCACAGGATGCTATCCAAGCTCATGAATAAATTATATGAAGGGAGAACGTGTTTCAGAAATATTGCAAATAGCTAGAGACTGTCTGATTAATAAGCAGAACCTGGCTAGTATACAATGAAAACTGCATAGTTCTTTTGTATTTCATCCCCTAGTTTTCTTGGAGTGAGTTGTACTGCTGCCACCTTGTGGTCACATAAAATTTTCAACAGCAGAATATTGCAGTAAAGATGGATGATGAAAATAGTTCTCTTATTCCATGTGCTTTAAAAAACCTATCAAATACACATAATTACAAATGTTTTAGCACTGGTTGCTGGTAATTCAATTTACAATTTTAAAAAATTAATTTAAATTTAATTTAAAAGACAAAATATGTATCTGGACATTGGTCACCCTGATAATCCTTGCTTGATCCTACCACTAGCATTTCTTGGTTATGCAATGTATGTGTCCATTTCCTCATCTGGAGAACAGGGGCAGGGGCTGGATGAAGGACGAGCAGGAGTGAAGGAATGCTGTGGCCCATTTCCAATACTAAATGGTTTTGGTAGTGTGGATTTAAAAATAATGCTTTGGAGAAATATACAATCCTCTCTAATTCCTCTAAAAGCCATTTGATAGAATACTATAGCAATGACTTCTCAGGGTGAAGAAACACTGCCTTATAACTCCCTGGAGGAGGCAGTAGGACATTACAGAGTCCACCAAATATAAGAGTGGCTATCTAGGGTCTATTAGAAAATGCATTTTAAAAAGTGCACACCTGGGAAAGTGCACACCTAGGATGTGTGATCAAAGTTCATCTTCTTTGTTATTTTGGTGAGTATTATTTAAAATAACTTTAAAAAATACTAATGATTATGCTGTTTGGTTATTCATTAGACTAAGATGACCAAACGCATAAAGAGAACCTGGGCTAAAGGAGAAGTCAATAGCTAAGATTTTTATTTGGCACTGCATGTACACAAGCATTGGTATACCTTACTTGTGGACATGCACAATAGAGAAAGTAACAAAATTACCCAGGTGAGATTCAGGAGTTTTAGGAAAGCTGTCCAGCAGTTACATCCCACTCTGTTCAACTCTCTCCGGTTTCTAGCTATTCACCTTCCCAACTGATGCTGAGTTGAGTTGTGCTGAGCTACAGGAAGTGCCTGCCACACAGCTCTGGGCTCATTGCGTCAGCTCAGGAATTCTGTAAGGGGCAGAAGAACTCACACTCTTATTTAAAACTATGGATATATTAACCACAGAGAGAGAACTTTATGTACCAAAGTGGTATAGACCAGCATAGAATATAAAATCAAAATAATGATAAGATATCCACCTTTAATTTGTAAAATCTGGAATATATATAGAGGCCCGGTGCATGAAATTCATGCACGGGTAGGGGGCTCCATCAGCCTGGCCTGCACCCTCTCACAATCCGGGACCGCTGGCTCCTAACCGCTCACTTGCCTGCCTGCCTGATCCCCTTAACCCCTCTGCCTGCCTGCCTGATCGCCCCTAACTACTTACCTGCCTGCTTGATCGCCCCATACTATCGGCAAAGAGCAATAAAGTGTTGTGCAACAGACAAGGTATGCTTGTGTAGATCATTTATGGATATTACAAATTATATACACTTTAAATAATATTTTTATTATTAAAAATATTAATGCCTGCCTGCCTGATCGCCCCTAACCGCCTCTGCCTCAGCCCCCACCGCCGCGGCTTTGTCCGGAAGGTCATCTGGATGGACGTCCAGAAGGTCATTCAGCTGTCTGGTCTAATTAGCATATTATGCTTTTATTATAGATGCTCTTGCAAATTATACTCTACAAATATAAGGCCTTATGTTATAGCAATCCATATTATCTAATTAAGTCATGATACCAGGAAATAAATCAACAAATTGGTAAGGTAGTTATCCACCACCTGACTTACCTTAATAAAGGCTGGATTTTATTACAGGCTTACCTCAGAGATATTGGGGATTTGGTTTCAGATGACTGCAATAAAGTGAATATCTCAATAAAGAGAGTCACAAATATTTTGGTTTTCCAGCACATATAAAAATTATGTTTACATACTGTAGTCTATTAAATGTACAATAGCATTATGTCTAAAAAAACAATGTACATACCTTGATTAAAAAATACTTTATTGCTAAAAGTTGCTAACCATCATCTGAGCCTTCAGTGAGTCATAATCTTCTGTTGGTGGAGGGTCTTCCCTTGATGTTGATGGTTGCTGACTGATCAGGGTAATCATTATTGAAAGTTGGTTTGGCTGTGGCATTTTCTTACAATGAGACAACAATGAGCCCTGGCCGATGTGGCTCAGTTGGTTGAGCGTTGTCTTGTGCACCAAAAGGTCGCCAGTTCCATTCCTGGTCAGGACACATGACCAGGTTGCGGGTTCCATCCCCAGTCAGTGTGTGTGTGGGAGGCAACCAATCAATGTCTCTCTCTCTCTCTCTCTCTCTCTCTCTCTCTCTCTCTCTCTCTCCTCTTCAGTAAAAACATTTTTAAAAAATGAGAGCCAACAATGAAGTTTGCCACATCAATTGACTCTTCACCTAAAGTTTTAGAGGCCATTGTAGGGTTATTAATTGGCCTAATTTCAATATTGTTGTGTCTCAGGGAAGAGGGAGGTCCCAGAAGAGGGAGAGAGACTGGGGAAGAGCTGGTTGGTGAAGCAGTGAGGACACACAACATTTATCAATTAAGCTTGCCATCTTATATGGACGCAGTTTCAGACACCCTCAAACAAGCACAATAGTGGCATCAAGGATCACTGATCACATATCACCATATCAAATATGATAATAATGGAAAAGTTTAAAATGTTGGGAGAATTACCAAATGTGACACAGAGACATGAAGTGAGCAAATACTGTTGGAAAAATGACACCATGGGCTTATTCAACACAGGGTTGCCATGAGCCTTCAATTTGTAAAAAAAACATACTATCTGCAAAGAGCAATAAAATGTTGTGCAACAGACAAGGTATGCCTGTGTAGATCATTTATGGATATTACAAATTATATACACTTTTAATAATATTTTTTAGTTTGACTGACATTTCCTATCCAGTATACAAACCAACCCAAATTTTCACATGTAAACAAACACTTCTTACCAAGAAATAGGTCATAACTTATCTAGTCTTCAGAGATTCAAGTAAAAACACAAAGATAATTTTTTAAATGCATATATCTGTTAATTTTTTCTAAGACTCTTATTTGGTTTGTCATATTACCTTACATAATGTAGCAAAAAGGGATACCTAGATGGTGGGTTTTGTAGATGATATTCAAGGCAGACAAATCTCCTACTATACTAAGGCACAATATCAAGCCAAAGAGAAAAAATCCATAAAGGCCCATGAGCATATGATTCATTATGGATTAGTTCTGTTAAGTGTGCAGGTGAAATGAAAGACTGTCCAACCGGAGAAATCTAGCCTTACAAAACAAAATTAATTTCTTTACCTTCAGTTATGTTATTTAACTTTAAAGAGAGTGAGGCTAAGAAAATGGGAATTTTGGAAATGTAAAAACATAGAATCATTTCTATTAATAAAAATTAAGATAAAAATCATGAAAAGATTTTATGGATGAAATATTTAGTCATCATATAGAAAGAAACTATAAGAACTGGTAACAAAAGTATTTATTTTTTTGATCCGTGTAATAAAGGAATGACTAGATCTATTGGGAATTAGATGTGAATCTTCGTAATGTCATACATTTTAAAAACAACACCATATAGCTACTTCTCTTTGACCTCATATGGAAAAACTAAAGAAGGAAAAATCTACTTCCCTTTCAGATCATATACTATTTATTTTTCTTCCTATTTTCCTTAAAGTGATCTTTTTCTCCCTCTCTTAGGAGCAGATGTTTAATGAGCTACTTATATACGATGCACCTCATCTTCTACAAGATTTGGATACATACTTAGGGGAAAAAGAGTGGTTCATTGGTAACTCTGTGAGTATGTTTTACATCTTAAAAAATACAAATATATATATATATATATAATCTCTTTATTTATTTGTGAAGATAAACCAAAGACATAAAACCTTATTGAAAAAAATGTTACCCATAAAGAGGGAGTAAGAGAGCAGAGATAAAAGCTAAAATTTTTTGAATAAACATTTTTTTGGTAGACTTCATTTTGAAACCAATAACTAAAATATTTTATATAATTATATAACAACAATAACAAAAACATCTTTAAAAGTTATTACTGCAAAGCAAAAGCAAAGTGAAACAAACAACCCTGTGTCAGATTGAGGCATAGGGTATGTAAGTACCTATGTATTCTATTAGTGAAGAACTACTTAAAGAAACAGCTTCATAGCCTGGCCAGCATGGCTCAGTGTTTTAAGTGTCGACCTATGAACCAGGAGGTCATGATTCAATTCCCAGTCAGGGCACATGCCCAGGTTGTGGGCTTGATCCCCAGTGTGGGGTGTGCAGGAAGCAGGAGATCAATGATTCTCTCTCATCATTATGTTTCTATCTCTCTCTCCCTCTCCCTTCCTCTCTGAAATCAATAAAAACATATTTAAAAAAAAAGAAAATATAAAGCCGTAGCTGAAATGGCTCAGTGGATAGAGCATCAGCTCACAGTCTGAAGGGTCCCAGGTTTGATTCCGGTCAAGGGCATGTACCTCGGTTGCAGGCTCTACCCCAGCATGCGGAAGGCAACCAATCGATGTGTCTTTTTCTCATCGATGTTTCTCTGTCTCTCCCTCTCCCTTCCACTCTCTCTAAAAATCAATAAAAAATATTCTCGGGTGAGGATTAATAAAAAAGAAAAGGAAAAGGAAATAGCATAATATGAAAAACACAGGAATTTGACTATACATCTCACAGATATACTCTTAGAACAAAACAATAAAAATTGTATATCACTTTCAGTAATTATATTTTTGGTGGTACTGGTACAGTGGTATTATTTTTCTGATATTATTATATCTATATTGTGGGGCAAAGTAATAAGAAATGGCATGGATGTCATTGAGAACCAGGATCTTCACTATGGGAGAAAGAAGATAGAGATGTAAGACCAATAAGGTTAAGTAAACATTCTATCTCTGAGTGTGAACTAGATGCAACAGTATAAACTCATGATGTACTTTATCTTAGGATAAAGTACAAGAAAAATGAATTTAGTATCTCTTTTTCAACAATGACCAACACAGTTGTCCTGGCCACCCCTAAGACTGAGATTCTGGTCTTCAAATACTAAAGGAACCAGGGCTTCTTAGAATAAGGCTCATTCTCAGTTTGGGACAGGAAATGTAAAAGATTAACTGGGGTTCCTTGTCATACCAGAAGGAAATAAATTATCAAAGACAACAGGAGTTGTGTCTAAAGATCTCAGGAGTCAACTTGAAGAGGCTCCTACTGGCCAAAGATAATTCAAGCTACAATAAGAATGTTAACTGCAATGGACTAAAACAAATCAAAATGAATAAATCCATGAGTATGACAACCACAACCAAACATGCATACACACACAACCCCCCAAAACAAAGTTTCACTGGTTACTTTTAGAAGATGCTACGGAGCCAAATTATTATTATGAAAACTGTTGAAAACAAACAGAAAAGTGGGAGGTTTGAATAAAACCAGTTGTACCTCAAGATAATAAAATTGATGGCCAAATTTTGTCTTCATAAAAACATTTTAGCCGAAACTGGTTTGGCTCAGTGGATGGAGCGTCGGCCTGCGGACTGAAGGGTCCCAGGTTCGATTCCGGTCAAGGGCATGTACCTGAGTTGCGGACACATCCCCAGTGGGAGATGTGCAGGAGGCAACTGGTCGATGTTTCTCTCTCATCGATGTTTCTAACTCTCTATCCCTCTCCCTTCCTCTCTGTGGGAAATCAATAAAATATATTTAAAAAAAAACATTTTAGTTAATAAGTTAGAAGGAGAGATTAAAATAAGACATCACTGCCCTATCCAGTTTGGCTCTGGGTAGAGCATCAGCCTCCGGACCAAAGGGTCCCGGGATCAATTCTGGTCAAGGGCACATACCTTGGTTGCAGGCTCCTCCCTGGCCCTGGTCAGGGCTCCTGCAGGAGGCAACCAATCAATGTGTTTCTCTCACACCGATGGTTTTCTCTGTCTTTTCCTCTCTAAAAGAGCAATGGATAAATATCCTCAGGTGAGGATTAACCAAAATAATAATAAAATATCACCATCGATGTTTCTTTGTCTTGCCCTCTCCCTTCCACTCTTTCTAAAACATCAATGGAAAAATATTCTCAGGTGAGGATTAACAAAAAGAGAAAAGAATGCTACTAGTCCACATTTAAACTTCACTCTTTGAGCCAAAGTAATGTCATCCAGATTAGTTTCTCGTCACAAAGGGGACAAGAGTATAAAAAAGTATACAAAGGTAGGACCAGCCTGTCATCAATCATGGTCAGTCTTAGGGTACCACTTAGAGTCAGACACCTTTATTTTAAGTCATCTGATGTGATACAATATAATGTGTGTTAGCCTGAAATACTAACTTGAAACTATGAACTCTTGCCCTGGCTGGGTAGTTCAGTTGGTTAGAGCATCATCCTGATACGCCAAGGTTTTTGGTTTGATCCTGGTCAGAGCACTTTTAAGAATCAACCAATGAATTCATAAATAAGTGGAACAAATCGATGTTTCTTTCTCCCTCTCTCTCTAAAATAGATAAATACAAATTAAGAAAACAAGCCATAGTCGGTTTGGCTCAGTGGATAGAGCATTGGCCTGTGGACTGAAAGGTCCCAGGTTCGATTCTAGTCAAGGGCACATGCTTGGGTTGCGGCCTTGATCCCCAGTGAGGGGCATGCAGGAGGCAGCCCATCAATGATTCTCTCTAATCATTGATGTTTCTCTCTCTCCCTCTCCCTTCCTTTCTGCAATCAATAAAAATATATTTTAAACAAACTCTGAATTCCATAGGGATAACTTGCACCTTATTTCTTTACATCCTGCAGTGTAAAAGAGTAAGGTAAACAAGAAGATGAGATGATCACACAAACCATGAAGACAGGACATTGTGTAGGACTAGTGTGGAATCCTGACTAATGCAGTGACATGAAAAAAAAAAAAAAGGGTACTATTCTGAATTAAAGAGAGTTAAAGAACACAACCAGATGAAATGCATGGTCCTGAAATGGATTCTGCTTTGTCCTATGAAGAACATTTTGGAACAGATGGAAAAGTATTGATTGTGTATTAGATAAGATGAAAATATAGTCAGAGAGATGAAGATTAATCAAGTTACAAGAGTATGTACTGTAAGATCTCATCTTACTAAAAACGCACACACACACAGAATACCACCTTATACACAGGAGTAACCTCTGAGTGTTGGGAATATGGTGTTGGGAATATGGTGTTATTTGTAATTTTCTATCATACATACGTTACTGGACCTTGAATGCCAGATTCTCGAGTCTCAATTTCATAGAAATGAGCACTGAATTCAGTACAAGATCAAGCAGACGGAGTTTATTGAAAAGAGCTTGTGCACAAGGGATTCGATCAGAAAATGAGAAGTTTTTGTAGATGGCTTACTTTGGCATGGGTGCAGGACTTGGGAATGAGGATGAGGTCAGTCACAAAGTTCATCTGGTGGTGGTTGATCCTGGGGTAGTCATAGGATGTTTTCTTTTTTAAAATACATTTTTACTGATTTCAGAGAGCAAGGGAGAGGGAAAGCTAGAAACATTAATGATGAGGGAGATGCACGTCCCCCTACTGGGGATCAAGCCCGCAACCCGGGCATGTGCCCTGACTGGGAATCAATGTGACCTCCTGGTTCATAGGTCCATGCTCAACCACTGAGCCACACCCACAGGGCCACAGGATGTTTTCTATGGTCAGTGGGCCCATAATAATGCTTGAACAAACATTCTAGTTACCATTTAATTGACAAAACAACTACTTTGCAGAATCTGATGTTAAGAAAGGATGTTATCGTCGAACAATCATTCCTTTAAGGATGTGGTCAGGTTAATTTTAACTACAGAATTTTACTGAAACCAAGAAGTCATAGTCAGGCCTCTAAGATGGAGTTCAGATGTGACCCCTATACTGTCTCACACACATTCCACTTTTGTAATAACAAAAGATTACTTTGAATTAAAAAGAAACTATTTTTTAGATTAAGAAGTTAGTTATGCCTTTTACATTCAAATGGAAATTTTTGTTTCCTTTAAATCAGGTAACTTGGGCAGATTTCTACTGGGAAATTTGCAGCACTACCCTTTTGGTCTTGAAACCTGACTTGTTGGACATCCATCCCAGGCTGGTGGCATTACGGAAGAAAGTCCAAGCCATCCCTGCCATTGCTGACTGGATACAACGAAGGCCCCACACCAGACTCTAGGGGTTCCTGCTGCCTCCAACTTTGTTGTTCGCTCCCATCAGATAAGAAGCTGTCTCCCCTCCCCCACTCCATCAAGACTCCCTTTTGCCATATTGTTTGAAAAGAAAAAAAAAAGAGCATTTAGTTGCCAGTATCCTCCCCCCACCCCCACCCCGAATAGTTACAACTGAGGAAAAATAGTTTAAGGCAGGCCTCGCCTTGCATCAGTTCTGTCATGCATTAATTTTGGCCGCAATAGCTTATTAAATAACATATTCCCCCTGAAAATGGTTTGGACTTCATTTACCATGATAACTGTGAGCAACTGCATAAAGTATAAACCTCGCTGCTAGCTCTTCAGTCCACAAATCTCCATGTAAATAAGATGCACAGCAAGACCATGACCAGTGATGTCACTTCTTTAGGTCTGTTACCAATTGGACCCTGCACATCTGTCTGTTATTCACCCCCAGACAATAAAGTGTGTAGGGGCATCGGCTGCTTGTTTCTCAGTGATAAACCATCTTATAAAAGTGGGTAATTGAAAAAGGGAACTCACTAACAAAAATGAAAATGCAATTAAGAAATGAAAGTGAAACGGAATTTTTGGACTGGAACCCGGAATCTTTGTCCTTGTCCGCCTGAGTCGAAGAATGAATCCAAGGACAGAGGGTAGTATAGCAAAGGTGGAGATTTATTGAAGAACTAGCGGCCCAGTGCATGAATTCATGCACATTGAAAGGAACTGTGGGTCATGAGGCTGCGATGGGCACAGGGGCAGATCTCAGCCCATCCCTTGCGCCCCCACCCGGCCCCTCCCACTGCAGCCCCCGGTCCCCTGTCTGCTGGCAGCCCCACTCCTGTCACCAGTCCCACATGCTGACAGTGTCAGCCCCACTCGCACCAGCTGACAGTGTGGAGCGACTGGGGTTGGCACCAGCAACGGGTGCAAACGGGGCCAGCTCCATCAGTGGGTGCAAGTGGCAACTACTACCTCAATCACCCCTCAGGAGCAGGGGGAGGTGGAGAAGCCCTCAGGGGTGATCAGGACCAGCAGCTGCCACTGGCAAACACTGACAGCGCTGAGCAATGGGACCGTGGTGCATGGGAGCAAAGAATTTTCAGTAACCACCAGAGGCTCTCCCTGATGACAAAGACTGGCACCCTGCCTTGGTCTGGCGCCCCCGCTCACCTGCTCCACCATCCTGTTGCAGCTGACGCCTGCCATGTTCCACGCTCTGCCACCTGCTGCCGACGCCTGCCATATTCCGCACCCACCCCCTGGTGGTCAGTCATAGTGACCGGTTGTTCTGCTGTTTGGTCTATTTGCATATTAGGGTTTTATATAGAGAGACAACTACAGACTCCCTCGTGGGGAAAGGGGAAGAGTCTCTCATTGAGAGGGGGAAAGGGTCCCATCAACTTCCTGTTTCCATGGTTTATAAAGGCTGTAGTTCCTGTGTCCTGACATCCCTTCTGATTGGTCAATATTCCCTTTCCAATGGGTTACTGTAGTGACTCCTGAGGCCCTCCTCCCTCATGGTCTTCCTATTCCTTCTGGGCTTTCTTCCTCCTTTATTTTGTAAATACAGACCTTTCTTGGCTACTTCCAGTTCCCTTGTCTTACAGAAATATATCCGTTGCTGCTTCCTTGTCTTATGTAAATGCAACTATTGCTGCTCCCTTGTCTTATGGAGATGTAACTGCACCTGGCTTCCTTGTGTTAAGGAAATGTACCTTCTCCCCTTCTGTAGCCCTATCTATGTGTGTTTTTTCCATGGACCCCAATTCTAAAAATTCCCTAAACCTGCCTATGTTCACCTTAAATTCCTGTTTCAAAAGGTGATAATGTGGGGTGAAATTCAAACTGAACATAAATGGAAAGAGCTGTGAGAATGTTGACACTAATGCAGTTCAAGAGGCTGATATGCAGCCACAATTTGGTGAAGGCACACTTACCAACATAAATGAGGAAAGTGGCTGTGACAAAGATGATATCCCAGCCTGGCTGGTTTGGCTCAGGGGATAGAGTATCTGCACACAGACTGAAGGGTCACAGGTTCGATTCTGGTTAAGGACATGTACCTCAGTTACAGGCTTGATCCCCGGCCCCAATGGATGTGTCTCTCTCACATGAATGTTTCTCTCTGTCTCTCCTCTTCCCTTCTCTCTAAAAATCAATGGAAAATATATCCTTGGGTGAGAATTCACAACAACAAAAAGATATCCCAGGGGAGGTGAAACTGGTGTAAAACTTCCTATTAAAAGGACAGAGATCAAAAGAATGAGAATACAAGCCACAGACTAGGAGAAAATATTTGCAAGACCTATCTGATAAAGGACAATTATCTAAAATATACCAAGAACTCTTAAAGGTCAACAATAAAATGAATAACCCAATTACAAAATGGACAAAAGACCTGAGCAGACACCTCATCAAAGATATACAGATGACAAATAAGCATATGAAAAGATGCTCAATATCATATATATCTGGGGAATTGCAAACAAAAACGAGGTACCAATACACACCTGTTAGAATGGCAAAAATCCAAAACACTGATAACACCAAATGCTGGCAAGGATGTGGAGCAACAGGAACTTTCATTCACTGCTGATAAGAATGCAAAATGGCATAGAGATTGCTTGGCCATTGCTTACAAAACTAAACATACTCTCACCATATGATCCAGAAATTGCACCCTTTGATATTTACTCAAAAGAGCTGAAAACTTATGTCAACACAAAAACTTGCACATAGATTTTTGTGGCAGCTTTATTGATAATTCCCAAATTTGGAAGCAACCAAGGTGTCCATAAGTAGGTGATTGAATAAATGGTGGCACATCCAAACAAGGGAATATTATCCAGCACCAAGAAAAAATGAGCCATCAAGCCTTTACGGGAGGAAACATAAATGCACATTAGGAAGTGAAAGAAGCCAACCTTTCTGAGCACACCTGTGCCTTTCCCTTCCCACTTTGTCCCTCCAGGCCTGTTACCTTTGCCTCTCTCTCTCTCTAAGCTCCAAGGGCCCTTCTTCTGCCTCTGTCACTTGTTTCCTGAGCCTACACAGCCCAGTTGGCTCATTTCAGCCCAGTTGGCTCATTTCTAAATAAACTTTCTCTTAAAATAAACTTTCTCTTAAAATTTGGGAAAAACAAACAACAAAATAAAATGACTGCATACTATATGATTCCAGCTACTTAATATTCTGGAAAAGGCAAAACTATGAAGACAGTGAAAAGATCAATGGTTTCTAGGGGCTAAGGGTGATGAGGGATGGATAGGTGGGGTACTGAGGATTTTTAGAACAGTAAAACTGTTCTGTATGATACTTTAATAGTGGATTTCTTTGTCAAACCATCAAATGTACAATGCCAAGACTGAACCTTAATATAAACTATGGTCTTTGGGCGATTATGATGTGTCAATGTAGATTCATGTATCGAAACTGATACACCACTGTGGTACTAGGTGTTGATAGTGGGGGAAGCTGTGGCTTTGTTGGGGAAGGGGTATATGGTAACTGTATTTTCTGCTCAATTTTGCTCTGAACCTAAAACTCCTCTAAAAAATAGTCTATTGAAGAGAAAAAAGAACAGGGGTATTTTGTGACATTGAAAGGGCAATAACATGTTGAAAGCTGATCCAAATTTAGGATTATGACAATTTACTAAGGTATTAAAATAATGCTTGTAAGTTATAAAAAAAGGTACTGTTCAAACTACACATAAGTATTTATAGAAATAAAACTCAATGTTTCTAATACTTTATAGTATATTGAAATTAGTTTTTTAAAAAAATATTTTATTGATCTTTTACAGAGAGGAAGGGAGAGGGACAGAGAGTTAGAAACATCGATCAGCTGCCTCCTGCACACCCCCTCCTGGGGATGTGCCCGCAACCAAGGTACATGCCCTTGACCGGAACCGAACCCGGGACCCTTCAGTCCGCAGGCCAACTCTCTATCCACTGAGCCAAGCTGGTCAGAGCTGAAATTAGTTTTAGTACTTATTTAATTTGCTTATACATTTAAAACCAATGTTTTTAATGTGTTGACAAAATTTTTTAAACGTCATGAAACCATCACTTTCCCCAATGACTAAGATTTTGCAAATTTCAACTTGCTGTCATTTTTACAGCCCCATACTATCATGGAAAAGCAAGAAGTGTATGCGTAACAAAATTGTTGAAATAGAAGCCTTCCAAAGTACTATATTTAATATGATTGCTCCTAACCCCTTTTAACCATGTACTATCGGAACATAAAATTGGGGTTCAATTTACATGTCACTATTAACATTGGGTTACCTCATTTCAATATGTCAAGTTGTACAGAAACAAACTAATGAAATACATGGTCTTACACTTGAAATACAGGGAAGCAGAAGGAAAATGTAGCTGAGCACCCAGACACAGGGAGAGGGAGAAAGGAATAGCAAAACCTAGCTTAACATACTCTTAAGGGGCTTCTTCCCTCCCAACAATGTCCCATGAAATGGGGGGAATGTTACCAGTAAATGCTTTATACGTTACTAAGGATTACACATAAGAACAAAGTGTTATTTTCTTATAGTCAATGGCTGTTAATAAATGATAATAGGTTATTGGTGAATCTCATTGCAAAGTACTCATGTCATTAAGGCAGTCTAAAGAAAACGTATTTCACAAAAATAAATTTACATAATAGTCTAGATCAGTGGCTGGCAAACTTCGGCTCGCGAGCCACATGTGGCTCTTTGGCCCCTTGAGTGTGTCTCTTCCACAAAATACCACGTGCGGGTGCGCACGTACAGTGCGATTTAAACTTTGTGGCCCATGTGCAGAAGTCGGTATTTTGTGGAAGAGCCACACTCAAGGGGCCAAAGAGCCGCATGTGGCTCTCGAGCCGGTTTGCTGACCACTGGTCTAGATAAGACAGGTAGTAACTTTTCCTCCCTCTTATACATGTTCATTTTCCTGCATGTGATTACATTCTGACAAGCTTTAATAAAAAAAAATTTCATAAAAAACAATGCTTATTTAAAATTATAAAAATTTAAAATATGATCAATCCCATTTGTTTACATAAATCAACTCAAATGTGCAGTTAATTCAAATAAAGGAAGTCACAGCAGGTTTCTTAAGGATGCATTTCATTTCAATCATAGCATCACCTTAACCTTTCAGGTCAATTTTTCGCTAAAGGACAATACATTCCATAATCCCATCCTGTACCC